TGTTCTTCAGTTCTTTGAGCTTAAGAAATGCTGAATGAGTATAAATTTTTTTAATTGAGTTTCTGTCAGTGCTAATCAACCAGTAAGCAAAACAAAATCCTACTGAATGGACATTTAACTATATTATTTGTACTACATTAATTTTCAATTTTCCTCATAGATTTTTGCCTATAAAATGTTTATAATTTGCAGAAATACTCTTGTGTGTATACTGTTGTTATTAGGTGCTCTCAAATCAAGTACAACTCATGGCAACCGTATGAAGAACAAATCTGAACCCTGCCCTCTCCTGTGCCATCCTCATCATCTTTGACACACGCAAGCCCATTGCTGCAGTCACTGTGTCAGTCCATCTGGTTGAGGGTCTTCCTCTCTTTTGCTGACTCTCCACCTTTCCAAGCATGATGTCCCCTTTCCAAGGAATAGCTTTCCTAGCAACACACTCGAAGTAGGTGAGGTGAAGTTGCATCCTTGCCTGTACGAAGCATTTTGACTTTTCCCAAGATGTATCTGTTTGCTACTCAGTTCTCAAATAACTTAATTTTTACATGATTTTCTGTGGCAAAGTATATGTTATTCTTTTAGTTGAGTAAATTGAAGGCTAGAGGAATTAAGCAACTTTTGCCAACATCTCACAATAAATGTACAAAATAATTGTTGTGGATTGAATAGTATCTTCCTAAAATGTGTGTATCTATCATACACATACATTATAATAATAATGGTAAATATGATTACTACAAATTTTTTCTGTGGTGGTCCATGGTATGTTCAAGACTTGTCTCCAGCACTACAACTCAAAGGCATCGATTCTTCATCTGTCATCCTTAACCAGCTCTCATTAACCAGCTCTCTGATACATAGCAAGTAATTGCAAAGATGATGTACTGTATCAGGCACACCTTAGTCTTTAGACTGACATTGTTGTTTTTCAGTACCATGGAAAGGTCCTGACAGCAGATTTGCCTAATAAAATTCGCCTTTTGCTTTCCTGATTGCTGATTTTCCTGATTGCCAAGTGTTGATTGTGGAGCCAAGCAAGCTGTAACTGTTAACAACCTCAGTCTCCTCTCCGTCCATCATGGTGCTGCCAATTGGCCCAGTGGTTAGAATCTTTGTCTTCTTACGTTTGGTTAGGTTTTCGCGGAGTTGAGTTGTCAGCTGAACACGTGAGCGTTTGAATGGAGCTCGTCGCCGGGTGCTACGAACAGGTCCTTTTTGGTTTCTCTGTGCACAGAAAGCCCGAGACGAGTGGCGGCCTCGAGAAATGGACTGCTGTGGCTGACTTCACTCACCATGCCCACACTGCCTCCGTGTCAGCAGTGGCCGTAAACAGTCGTTTTGTTGTCACTGGAAGTAA